CCCGAACTAATTTGATCGACAATACTTATTCGGGTAACCCGATTACCCGACGGGTACCCGATTACCCGACGGGTAAAACCCAACCCGAACCCGGTGATGAGTAATTGGGTACCGGGTCGGGTACTGGTACAATTTTTAACTGGCGGGTCGGGTACGGGTATGCCAAAACCCGCACCCAACCCGACCTGTTTACATCCCTAACTACGACTACAAAGAATTTTCTCTGCCCCCTTCCAATTGGAAAAGGTCCCACCAAGCAATTCCCCACTGAGCGAAATGTATCGGGCAGTTGATTGTCATCATGGTTTCAGCCGGGATATGGGGAATCTGACCATGTCGTTGGCATCTTTCGCATCCTCGCACTAACTGCTCGGCCATCTTCTGGATTTTTGGCCAGTAATAGCCTGCTCGCAAAGCTTTGTCGGCTAGGGCTCGAGACCTTGCGTGTGCCCCGCAACATCCTTCATGAATCTCTTTTAGGACATGATTCCCTTCCTCTTCGGAAACGCAGCGCAGGTGAGGCCCAATCATCGACTTCTTATACAAGATCCCATCGATTTTTAAAGTATTTAGTTAGATATCTGGCAGCTCTCTCCGCTTCTTGCCTATCTCCTGCAGGTATGCGTCCCTGCAAGAGTTCACGAATCGACTTCCTCCAATCGTATTTTCCATCGACTTCCATTGTTTGTCTAAGGACACTTCCTTCCAGGTGCATCGTGGTAATGTGACCTCTCATATTTCCTTCATTAGAGCTTGCAATTCTTGCGAGCCAATCGGCTCGCTTGTTTTCCTCTCGAGAGATTTGAGTCAGCTCGAATTTTCCCAAGCCTTGTATGAGGCTTTGAATTTCCTTGACATATTTCAGCATTCTATCCTCCTTTATCTCGCAGTTCCCCATCACTTGGCCCACGACAAGCTGTGAGTCAGAAGGGGCTGCGATCTCTGTCGCTCCGCCACCAATCGCGAGTTAAATCCCCTTGATCAGCGCCTCATATTCTGCTTCATTATTCGAGGCCTTGAAGCCCATTCTAATGGCGAAGTCGAGTTCTTCACCTTTGGGGGATACTAGGACAACCCCTAGACCCGACCCTTTGGCTGCTGAGGATCCATCGACATGAATTATCCACTTCTTTTCTTCCCATTTGGTTCCTTCCTGAATGAAATCCGCTAAAGCTTGGGCTTTTATGGCTCGCCTTGTTTCGTATTTGATGGAGTATTCACTCAGTTCGACTGCCCACTTCACGAGTCGACCCGAAACAGTATGTCGACCGAAGGTTTCTTCAAGCTAGAAGTTTGTTCTCACCACTATCACATGATTCAGGAAGTAATTTTCTAGTTGTTATCACCAATTCAAGGCAGCTTTCTCGACTTCAGAGTATCTAGCCTCCGCGCCCTGAAGTACTCGACTTATGTAATAAATCGGCTGATGGGCACCTCCAGCTTCTCGCAGTAATACCAAAATTAAAGAAAATACCCCCACTGAGATGTAAAGCACCAACTCGTCCCCAGGTTCTGGTTTTGTTAATAGTGGCAGCTCGCTCAAAAATTCTTTCAACTTTTCGAATGCCATTTGGGCCTCGTCATTTCATTGGAAAGTTTTCTTCTTGAGCAACTTAAAGAATGAGAAACTTCTTTCTACTGCTAGAGCGATGAATCTGCTTAAACCGGCAATTCGACCCGTCAGGACTTGCACTTCTCTGATATTTCTTGGTGCGGCCATGTCGAGTATGGCTTTCACCTTGTCCCTATTTACTTCAATTCCTCTTTCAGTCACAACATAGCCAAGGAACCGCCCTGCTCTCACTCCGAAGGCACATTTACTCGGGTTTAGCTTCATCCTAAATGCTCTTAATGTCTTGAATGTTTCTTTTAGATCCTCGATATGCAAAGTCGAGGACCTGCTTTTCACCAAGATGTCGTCCACATACACCTCCATATTATACCCTATCTGTGACTTGAACATCCGATCCATCAGTCTTTGGTAAGTCGCCACTGCGTTCTTGAGTCCGAAGGGCATGACGACATAACAATATGTTCCCTTGCTCGTCACGAAACCCACTTTGCTCTGATCTTCCGGGGCCAATAGGATTTGGTGATATCCTTGGGACGCGTCCATCATACTTAACAACTCGCAGCCAGCCGTAGAGTCGACTAGCTGATCAATTCTTGGCAGCGGATAATGATCATTTGGGCATGCTAAGTGTTATAACCATTTTTGTTGTATTTTTCGCTATATTTTTGTTCTTCTTTTCCCCTCATTTTTCTTCATTTTAGGTTATTTCGTGAGTTTTTAGTTCGTTTTGTGTTTTATTATGTGTTTTGTTCTATTTTGGTTTTCTTTGTGTTTTTCGTGTGTTTTTCCGGTTTTTCTTTGTTTTTGGTGTGCATATCGGAAGTCTCGTGAGGAGTTGATTATAGACTGGGCAATCATGGTTATGTAGATGGACTCGTTGGCTACATATAGAAAAAAAAACGGAAGTTGATTTCGAGTTTGGATGAATCCGGACGGAACAAAAACGCGAAGCCGCGCAAGTTACCGACCCTTTACAGGTTGAAAATTCCACATAATTTTTACTCTAGGCAAAAGTGTGGTTTACAAGCATCATTGGATAGAGGGGTTCATTAGCTACGCGTAGGAAAAAACGGAATTCAATTCCGAGTTCGGACGAGCCCAAAACAAGCCCGAGAAGCAGAGCTGCCCGAGACGTGCGCGAATGCGCGCGGAAAAATCACTTTCGGTTTTGGTCCGAAAATTCCATCTTTTATCTCAAATTTCCTATCTTCTTTCACCTTTTCTTCCATTCTTTCTTTGGTAGATGAATTATGGTTGATTTTTAGTTGAATTGTGGTTATTGTTGGTAAATTGTGGTTGATGTTGGTGGATTATGGTTGATGATATATCTATAAATAGCTCCATCATCTAACCAACATCTATCCCTCACAATCCAAAATATTATCATCCTCACCACTACCATCATTCTTATATGTTGTCTTAGATTAGTTTCTCTTTTGGTTGTGAATTTTGGAGGTGTTCTCCAAGGCTTGTACTTGTTCCGGTGTGGCGTGCATTTGTTTTCGGTTTGGCGTTTGTATCAACTTTATTTCTCGACTTGGATTACTTGTAAGTTATTTTTCTTGTAATGATAATTTGCAATGAATCTTATGTTGAGTTTATTTTTTTATATGAATAGCTAAATCATTTGCTAGGGATAGGGATGAATATTTGATTTCGTATGTGATTATCGTACTCATCGATTGTTCACTTTGTATGAGTTAATTCTAAATTCGGTTTTTGATTTTTACTTTGGAATGACATATTGTTGAAAAGTGACAATTCAACCTTGCAATTGATTTTTAAGTATTGAAGA